TATCTTTCATCCATATGCAGTTCTTTTCTGGAAGGTAGAGTCCATTACTTCGGTATCAGTCCTCACACAGTTTCAATGACAGCGGCAATTTCTTTGAATTGTCTGTAGAAATTCTGGAGGAAAAGGGGAAAATATTAATTTTACTTTTTCAGTCTATTTACATAGTTCTTTTAATTATATATAACTACCACACATAATTTGCATTTTAATGTTACATCCTAAGTGAAGATCACTGAGAAACTAACATACCTAGACAAGCAGGCACTGCAAACCTGAGACAAACCTCAAGAAGCCCATATCTAAATAACAAACAGGAGAACCGCCTCCCACAGAAAACATGACACATGTATATAACTTCTGCATCCTGGCTCAGAAGGCTGACCATTGAGAGCAAAATCCACAGGTGTTCAAATCCCTTACATGTGTTCACATCTATGTGGCCACTATCTGTCATGATGCATGCATAGGCACATACATACAATGGAATCACTCAGCTATAAAAGAAGAAATCCTAAAAAAAAAATAGACACTATATGATCTGACTTATATTAAAAATGCTGAACTCAGCCAAGCGGGCGGTGGTGGTGGGCCTTTAATCCCAGCACTCTGGAGGCAGAGGCGGGTAGATCTCTAAGAGTTCAGAGCCAGCCTGGTCTACAAGAGCTAGTTCCAGGACAGGCTCCAAAGCTACAGAGAAACCCTGTCTCAAAAAACCAAAAGGAATATTGAACTTTCAGATACAGAAAATTGAATGTGGTTGTCGGATGCTAGGGGTGAGGAAAAAGTGAAGATGTTGGCTAGGGGTACTAACTTAGCTATAAAAGTTCTGAAGATCTAACGTATAGAACGGTGAGTATGATTAATAGTATACTGTGAGATTATGAGTAGATTTTAAACGTTCTCAGTGCACATACATTTATACACACCATGTGGAAATGCACATGATAATTACCTTCAGGAACTGTCACTGCACAACATATATTCTTACCAAATCACATTGTATACACTGAAAACATATTTCTATTTATCAATTATACCTCAGCAATGCTTCAGGGATAGGGTGATTTGTTTGCTAATTTATTTACTCCTGAAGAAAAACTCCATAGAAACACCCTGCAGATGAAGGAAGAGCCCGCACCTGTGAACGACTGGAATGTCTGAGGCTAATCTGGCTTTCCCATTCAGTCCATAACTACACACTACTACCTTTCCGCACGTCCCATTCCTTCAGACGCCTACCAGCATCATTAAGAATAAATGTGTGCAGTCTTGTCTATCAAGAGCCCCTTAAAATACAGTTTATAAAGAGGAACTCGAAGGTCATACAATGGTATGTGGAAGACTTTCCCAGAAGCCTTGGCTTAGAGGTAGAGCACCTACCTCACGTGAGCAAGTCCAAGGGTGTGATGCCACATCATCCACACATAAAAACGGAAGGCCAGGCTGAAGAGATGGCTCCACAGTCATCAGCACTACCTGCTCCCCCAGAGAACCTGGGGTCCACTGCCAGCATTCTCGTGGCCATTTACAACTGTCTGAAATTCCAGTCTATAGGATCTGATGCCCTCTTCTGGCCTCAGTGGGTAGTGCGTGCATGTGGTACACAGATACACAGGCAGACAAAACACCCCATACACCCCAAGTGAACAAACAACAATAAAGGAAGTCCAGAACCAATGCAGTTTTTAATCGTTTCAAAAATGAAGCTTTTACTTTTAGTTCATTCACTGTGGTGCTTTCTGGAGTGTTCAACTCTCCTTTGAGAGCTGCTTCAGCTACTGAAGGGCTCACAGCAAACCAAACCAAACTGTACACACCGTTAAATCAGCTAACGATAGGCATCTCTCATGATATACATTCAAAAGGAAATTAGACAGTGTTCACTCCCCAAAGGGAGTGGATATGGCCAAGCTAGAAGAAGTGTGTCGAGGTTGGGGCAGGCTTTGAGGTCTATTTTACTCAAGCTTCCCTCAGAATGACAGTAAGTTGACTTCCTGTGGCTTGAGACCCGAGATGTAGCCACCATCATGCGTGCCCGCATGCCACCATGCTCCCCATCGTGATGATGGACTAAGCCTGAGAAACTGTAAGAAAGCCGCCCCAATTAAATGTTTCCTTTATAAGAGTTGCCATGGCCATGGTGTCTCTTCACAGCAATGAAAACCCTAACTAGGACACTTCTGCTTTCTTCCTTGGATAGAAGGTAAATAAAACGATAATATGAATGCCCTAAGTTTAAGCATAAACTACTGAGTTACTGAAATCTCTAAGCCAGTAAGACTCATCAATATGTATTAGCCCTGAACTGCATTTTGTAAGCAGTCAACAAACCCAATGCTAACCAAAAAAAGATTACTTTTGCTTAAAATGACTATTAAACATAAAAACAATAAAAAGTTAATTACAGAGTAAATATCCTGTAGAGAAGACGAAGTATCCCTAAATACATTAGTCAAAAACTGTTACAGTAACGAAAGGGCGCTATGCACACATCGGCGCATCTTACTGGGAAAACTTAGCAAACTCTCAGAGAAAATAACTTCAGTTTTCCTTTTAGTGTGATCTAAAGTACATCAACTTGTAAGTAAATAAACATTTTCTGTTAAGAAAGACTGTATACAGCTTTTGAAACAGCAGTACAACTTAAATTCAGTGAGTTACACTACAAACCTGAAACTGTGGGATTGTCATTTCGATGGACTTGGTGTTTACTTGGCCAGAAGGATCTGCCACTTTGAGCTTCACTGCCACATACGGGTACTTGAGGGATCTGCAGCGGTCAGAGCTCACAGCCATGCCCAGTTTCCACTGAAAATCTACAAGCTTGGAATAAAGGCTGACTAAGTAAGTTGGAACAAGGCTTGCACTGCACTCTCTGCGCAGAGCAGCCTAAATCACACTGTCCAGTCCAATGGGAAAACGGAGCCCGGGGAAAGACCCACGAAGAGGGGCGGGGACCGCACGCCGCAGCGAGACAGCATGGGGCGTCCACTCACCTGGCAGGTGACCTGGAACAGAAGCAGAAACACGGTTCGGAGAAAAGCCTTCCCGGCACCACTGTCCGCCCCAGCCCCTTCTCCCAGGCCGAATGTACCTCGGATTTGGCGTCCAACACCGGTTCCCTGAACGGAGACTCCTCCATGGCCAGACTGGAACTCACAGACACTTCCGCTTCCGGCCCAGCCCACTCTAGGGAAAGCGAGAAAAATAAATTTTCATGAAATTTTGGACTTGTCTCAATCAAACATCAGTTTTAGGACATACTGAGTTGAGGAAAGGATCGGTGGGGAGAAAGGCCAAGGACGCGGAGGAAACCTCGTGGAGGATGAATAACCCTCAGGATGTCGCCTCCCCCACGGTCGGGAAAGGAGTGGGCTCGTCTGTGCGCAAGCGCAAAGTGACTGTGCTTGGGCGCTTTCGATTCCAGTCAGGGATCCTGTGGAAAGGCTTTGAGATGCGGCCACACCCCCTTGCATGGCTCTTGGTGTGCTGTGTGACTTTAACTGCAATTGTCTGGCGAATTCTCATCCTTGGCCTAGCCCGATGATGGAAGGGTGGAGCGAAATGCCTTAAAAAACAAAAACCTCTGCTGCCTTTTATTCAGATTTCAACCCGATTTCAGCAGACCGCCGATGCATTCTTTTTTGTTTGTTTGTTTGGTTTTTCGAGACAGGGTTTTTCTGTGGCTTTGGAGCCTGTCCTGGAACTAGCTCTGTAGACCAGGCTGGTCTCGAACTCACAGAGATCCTCCTGCCTCTGCCTCCCGAGTGCTGAGATTA